CCATCATAAAGCTAAAGTTGCAAGGCTTAATGACTGAACTTTGTTCCAAAATGTGCAAGCCTCTCAGACCTGTTTGACATTTGACAGAACATGCACTGACTGAACACCAAAGAGGGAAACCTGTTGGAGTGAGGTGGACACTATGGGAAATGGTGGCTTGATCAGCATAGCCCTGACTGTTAATGAACAACTTAATACATTATCCCCTCTTAGTAGTTTTTTTTATCTGTTCTACTTAATATGACCTGGTTTAGATCTGTAATTGATGCACAGTTATTCCTTAAGTGTTGAAAATTAACTGAAATGTGATCCCTGTTGAACATGGTGGTGGGAATGGGAGAGGGAAGAGATGTATAATTTGGGACATGCTCAGGCTGACTTGCCCCCAAGTGGTGGAGTTGGAAGCATACCAGGGGATTCCAATTCAATTCCCATCGAGGTGGCATGTACCAATGCCATCTCACTGTTCCCAGGTGATCAATTTCAGTTCACAGTTGGTCATGGTGGAAGGACTGGGAGTCAAAGGGAGCACATAGACAAGTCTAGTACCTGCTAACGCTAACCGATGGAGTAAATAAAGGGGAGAGTGATCCAACATGGGAAGTGAGATACTCAGCAGACTCATAGAATGGCAGATGTCCTAAATAGCACTCTGGCCTCAGAATCAGCCCTAAAGGCATTCGGAGCTGGCTGAAAAGCTCATGAGAGTATTTCAGGCATGGAAAGCCAAGACACTCTGGCAAAAGATCTCTGCGAGTGAGATCCCAGTGGAAAGAACAGGCCATCAAAGAAGGAGGTACCTTTCTCTGAAGGGAGGAGAGAACCTCCACTTTGACTATGAGCTTGTCTAAACAAGATAAGAATCGGAGAACTCAGAGGGCTTCCATAGCCTTGGAAACTCATGACTGGAGCATAGGGAGATTACTGATGCCATAGACAGGAGTGTCAATTGGTAAAGTCAACAACAGGAGTCACTGTGCACTTACTCCTCATGTAGGATCTCTATCCTTAATGTGCTGTACATTGAGATTTAATGCTATAACGAGTACTCAAACAATATATTTCACTTTGTGTTTCTATGGGGGTGCAAACTGTTGAAATCCTTACTTAATGCATACTAAACTGATCCTCTGTAAAAAAAAAAAAAAAAAGAAAAGAAAAGAAATTATCAATTCCCAACTTGACTCTCACTGGGATTAAACATGACAATAGGTCTGCTCTGATTTCATCATCATTTAAAAAAAATCATCTATTATTTTTCACTTTATGTTTCTGTGTGGGAGCAAACTGTTGAAATCCATACTTGATGTATACTAAGCTGATCTTCTGTATATTAAGATTATCAAAAATGAATCTTGATGTGAATGGAAGGGGAGAGGGCGTGGGAAAGGGGAGGGTTGTGGGTGGGAGGGACGGTATGGGGGGGAAGCCATTGTAATCCATAAGTCGTACTTTGGAAATTTATATGCATTAAATAAAAGTTTAAAAAAAATAAAAAAAATCAGATTATGACAAAAAAAAACAAAGCAAAGGAAATACTAGCACTGTTCACAGACATGAAATTTAAAATAAATATGTAGACCTTCAAATGCACAACAGTCCATAGTTTCCCAGTTTTATGCTGTAAATTTTCAAAACATCATAAGCCAATAAGAATAAAATGAACAATAAGAAAATACTTAGTAATACTGCTAATGACAATAATGTTAACATTTTAGTTACCAATTATTTTCTTTCAAATTGTGACTCAAGCACACAGACCCCCATAACTAGCTTAATAAACACTCAGGAATCTAGAATCCTATGTGGAGAAGTGCTAATCTAACCCAGCTTTCATTGGACAAGAGAAAGCATGACAATCTCTAAGATTCACACTGATGTATCATAATAAAGGGGAAAGAAAGCCAAGGCTAAACAGTCTAAATGAGGAAAACTTTGCACACTGAGATTGCAGATCATAAATTTTACAGGTGTTCTTATGGATAATCCCCACATACATAATTTATCTTTCATTTTCATTGATTTAATTTTTCAAATAGGGCAAAATGTAGTCAATAATCTTTTTGAAATGCATTACAGAAACTATTAACCAACACTGCATGGGAGTATAACCTAGACATTCATTTCTCCAAGTTGGGACAATGAAGATATTTAACTAGCAAGTGGTTTTAATCAGGATTTCTAAAACTCAATAAAAACACTTAAGAAGAAATATTTGTCTAAATACTTTTTTGTTATTCAGTCAACTAGCTTAAAACCCTAAAGAAGCCAGCACAGTGGCTCAATAGGCTAATCCTCCACCTGCGGTGCCAGCACACCACGTTCTAGTCCTGGTCGGGGTGCCAGATTCTGTCCCGGTTGCCCCTCTTCTAGGCCAGCTCTCTGCTATGGCCCGGGTGTTCAGTGGAGGATGGCCCAAGTGCTTGGGCCCCGCACCCACATGGGAGACCAGGAGGAAGCACTCTCTGTCCACTCTGCCTGTCAAAAAAAAAAAAAGAAAAGAAAACTAAAGAAAAAGAGTACTTAAAACTCATGTCCACTCTCACTGTATTCCAAAACTTTCACCGTCTGGTTCTAAATTAAAATTGCATCAAAATTTATTTTCAGGCTCCATAAATACTCAGAATGTAGTCTACTGCCTGGATGGGAACATCGTTGTGGCTGCCCTACATTGGCAGTGGGTGAAACATGGGGAGATTTGGAAAGTACATGGAAAGAGACTTAAAAAGTATGAGTTTACTTTGGTATAGTTTTTGGCAAAAAAGACATTTGTTAATATATGGAACGTGTGTAAGCTAAAAATGCATTTTATGAATTCCAAATGGTTACTGCAACCAAAATAAAATCATATATTAATTTTATTTATGAACCCTTAAAAATATTTTTATATTTGTTTATTTGAAAGTCAGAGCAACAAAGAGAGCTGTCTTCCATCCTCTGGATCATTTCCCAAAAGCTTGCAACAGCCAGGGCTGTGCTAGTCTAAACCCAAGACCAACAATTCCATCTGGGACTCCCATGTGGGTGGCAATGTCGAAATACTTCGGTCATCATCCTCTCTTTTTTT